GAAATCAACACTTACAGGCGACAAGCTGTTTCATGCTGAACGCAATCGTCTGGCCTGACGATTGCGTTTAGCATGAAACAGCTTGTCGCCTGTAAGTGTTGATTTTAATGTTCACTTTATATATATATATATATATATATATATATATATATATATATATATATATATATATATATATGTGTGTGTGTTTGTATGTGTGTGTATGTCTATCTGTTTGTGTGTGCTTGTGTGTGTTATTATCATCATCATTATTATTATCTATACAACAATCAGTGCTCATCTTTTTTAAAATACGTTATGGCGATAGTGAGGTAGCCGTTTTCATACAATAAACTTTCATCATTCATTAAGCGAACAGTTAGCATTCCTGTAGGCTGAAATTTATAACAATTTCCCAGGAAATTAATCTTCTCAAATCCACTAAGTTTTATCGCTCTTTTTAGTCCCGATAGGAGTTTCTTCGCTAACCTTTTGTTTAATGTAATGTGGAAAAACAAATATTTGGATTATATCATTATTTTCCCTTTAAGTTATCTGACACCCATTTTTTGCTGTTGCTACTCTTCTTTCGTTTTTATTTTTAATATTGCTCGCCCAATGTTGCCACTCAAGGTAGATGATTGCTAAATGTACAGGCGTATAGGGAGGGAGAAAGTGTTGCATATTACGATATTATTTAGGATAGATAATAATGGCTATGTCTGTGTGCGTGTGTGAGTGTTTATACATTACTATAGTAAATTCGTTTTTTTAATGTATGTGTCTGTGTGTGAGTGTCTATACATTTCTACAGTAAATGCAGTCAAATCTGCTGAAAAATGTATGCAGTCTTCACGAAACGTAGAATAGAGACAAGATAAATAGACATCTAGTTTTATTACTATCTCTCTCTCTCTCTCTCTCTATATATATATATATATATATATATATATATATCTGATTGAATAAATTACAGACATTATGTCTGCTAAATTTTAACAAAATCTGTTCATAGTCACGAATAACCTTCCGTGTATTGATGTTAAATGATGACAGAAATGTGCTATAGCTGTTTAAATTTCTTTTATTTTCATTTCCCAAGTACTTTCGATCTTCTTCCAAGATCATCTTCAGGGGTGCAAGTAGTACAAAACTATATGTTGTTCATTAGTATAAGTATTTATACAAAGATTTGGCTAATATCCATTACCGTAATTTTTCATTATATTTTTAGAAGTTGGTATGTTATGCGATATTGTTAATTAAATTGTAATATTTATTTTTTATTATTAAATTATAATATTTTAGCTAATATTTTTCATTAATATTTAAATTGATTTATTATGTTATTAAAGTAACAAAGTAAATATTTGTTAATATGTCGGCATCGACCCATTATTATGAAAGTTTCATGAATTTGCTTGTGGAAAAGAACGTTAAATTCATCAATACGCACGTGTACAAAACAGAGTAAAAAGAGCGGTTTGAAAAAGACGTAGAACGAAGTGAAAAATGGGAAATACCGTTTAAAACCACAACCCCTGAAGGCTGGAAATTTTACCAAGAAACATCGATGTTGGAATTAGATTGATATTTAAAAGTTAAGTTATAGTAATAAAATGAGATGTTCATTTGGCTGTCTATATTCCAAATTTTGTGGAGATTACATCCATTATATATATATATATATATATATATATATATATATATATATATAAAGAAAAATGGGATGAAGTGCTCAATATCAGAGATAGAGTGTATGTAAATATAAAAGTGAACATTGAAGTCAACACAGAGTGGCGACAGGCTGTTTCATGCTAAACGCAATCATCAGGTGACCTGATGATTGCGTTTAGCATGAAACAATCTGTCACCTCTGAGTGTTGATATCAATGTTCACTCTAACATACATACATACATACATACATACATATATATATATATATATATATATATATATATATATATATATATATACATACATACATATATATATATATATATATATATATATATATATATTAGTACATAAAAATTTCAAAATTACCTCATGATTGATATATAACCCTAGTAGATCTGTATTTTCGCTCAACTGGACAGCTTTTCTTTATTATATATATATATATATATATATATATATATATATATACACACACACACACACACACACACACACACACACATATATATATATATATATATATATATAAAAGAAATATAGTCTTAAGGTGTGCTATATTTATGGGATAAAGTGCTCAATATCAGAGATAGAGCGTGTGTAAATATAAAAGTGAACATAGAAGTCAACACTTAGAGGCGACAGTCTGTTTCATTCTATATGCAATCGTCAGGCCACTTATGTGGCCTGACGATTGCATATAGCATGAAACAGACTGTCGCCTATATATATATATATATATATATATATATATATATATATATATATATATATACAGGTGTCCATAGAGTTCGTGTGCACTTTAAAGTTATAAATTTTTTTTAAAGTGCACACAAACTCTAATGACTACCTGTATAATATAAAAGCTCAAACACTAATATTCCATGGTTATAATTTTTTACATTGGAATCGTAATCACGATCCAATTCATCAGACCTGAAAATTCAAATTTTGAAATTGTAGGTCTGATGAATTGAATCGTGATTACGATTCCAATGTAAAAAATTATAACCATGGAATATTAGTGTTTGAGCTTTTATATTATATTCTTACTCTGTCCTGGACATTGAGTTCTACCTGGATTCTATCCTCTTGGGAATCTATCTATCTATCTATCTATCTATCTATCTATATATATATATATATATATATATATATATATATATATATATTGACCACTAATATAATCTATATGATAGATTATCTGTCTATATATATATATATATATATTACTACAGAAATTGCTGGTGTATTGCAGTCAGTGCAATCAGTGAAGGCCACAAATTACTGATGGGATGGTGTTAAAAGTCAACATTCACGTGCTATTATAATATAAATAATGAGTTCAATTGTGATCAGAATCTTAACTTGCGTAACCACCGGCATGTGTCGATCGATCTTATTTTTCACCTGTTGTCGACTAGATATGCAATCATCAGGCAACGAAATCTCATCCTTTCTCTAATTCCCCACAAAAAAAAAACCCCCCAAAAAACTCATTAAACTGTAGTCTCGTCATCTGCATCTCATTGTGACGTTGTTCTCGCGTGACAAGAGTCCTTCAATTAGAGTAATTGATTGGCAGTGATTGAAGCTGAGGGAATAGTCATTCACTGACTCGTGTCATGAGAGTCGGTGTTAACAGAGCGAAGATGAGACAAGGATGATGTTAAAGAACAGATTATACCCGAAAAGTGATTTCAAGAATAAAATAATTCAATTTGGACTTTCGAAAATTTAAGTGCAATGTCAATCGCTATCTACTGTCTTAATTACTCTTCTGTTCTTCTCGATCCTAATGGTTTTTTTCTTATTTTTTCAAACTCAGTAACCTTTTGCGTGCTAATGGCTTTACTGCCTTGCATGGGGTGGGATGATTAAAAAAGTTGTCTCCTTCTTGTTGTTATTGCTTCTCAGCATTCTGTATTTGATTCTGCACAAACGAAACCTTACACAAAAAATCAATGAATGAAAAAAGACATTTTCTTGTAAAATTATCAGAAATAATTGTTTTCGAAATATTATTTTTTCATATTTTTATCACGCATTTGCGTTATTCCAGACCTTTATTTTTTCACATTTTTATCATGCCTTTGCGATATTCTAGAAATTTATTTTTTCATATTTTTATCATGCATTTGCGATATTCTAGAAATTTATTTTTTCATATTTTTATCATGCCTTTGCGATATTCTAGAGATTTATTTTTTCATATTTTTATCATGCCTTTGCGATATTCTAGAGATTTATTTTTTCATATTTTTATCATGCCTTTGCGATAATCTAGACCTTTATTTTTTCACATTTCTATCATGCTTTTACGATATTCTAGAAATTTATTTTTTCATATTTTTATCATGCATTTGCGATATTCTAGAAATTTATTTTTTCATATTTTTATCATGCCTTTGCGATATTCTAGAGATTTATTTTTTCGTATTTTCATTATGCCTTTGCGATATTCTAGAGATTTATTTTTTCATATATTTATCATGCATATGCGATATTCTAGAGCTTTATTTTTTCGTATTTTTATCATGCCTTTGCGAGATTCCAGAGGTTTATTTTTTCCTATTTTTATTATGCCTTTGCAATATTCTAGAGGTTTATTTTTTCATATTTTTATCATGTCTTTGAGAGATTCTAGAGCATTATTTTTTCATATTTTTATCATGATTTTGCCTTATTCCAGACCTTTATTCTTTCATATTTTTATCATGCCTTTGCGATATTCTAGAGATTTATGTTTTGGTATTTTTACCATGCCTGTCATATGCCCTAGTCGACGAATGGGTTTATAAGGCGATCATACGCCGACCAGAAGATATATACATTTTCACACCTGTGGAGAGATACAGGCTATCTCTCTCAGATCGTGACAATGGACAATTGGTAAACAAAAAAATATATTTTAAGAACACTGTTGGATTAGGATAATCGAACAGTAATCTTTTCCTAGGTTCGTTTCAGTTTCAACACGAATACTGATCCACAATTCAAGGATGAACGATAAGGCTTAGCGATTTTTGATACAAGAACTTTAATATGTACAGATATACAAAATATTAAAATAAAAGAAAATATAAGTATGAGTTAAAACATCCGACGACCAGATCTCAAGACTTACGTTCGGATATCAAAATTCGCCTAACTCCAAATAGATTCGATTGAACCCGAACGGACAAAAATATAAGTATGAATTACTACGAATGCAGAAATCAACGCATAACCAAAAGAGATGGGATTAATGTTACATATTATTATTTTGACACGTGGAAAGGTGTTTGTAAGATCTTAATATTTATGGATGTATGTGTATCTTTCTAATACGGGTCCAAAATATATGATTACTTATCTTTTATATTCAGTTCTCTTTTTTATCATTGTCCTTTCTTTTCTTTTCTTGACACAAATACGATTTCACACACCGTCCGGCTGTAACAGAGATATACACTTTTTTCCTCTCTCTGTTTTCCTTTTTTCTTTCTTTCTTTCTTCTTCTGTATACAGTTCAGTTCCCGAACCCGACTCACTGCAACAGGGATATACACTTTCTTCCTCTCTTTGGTTTTCTTCTTTCTTTCTTTTTCTTTCTTTCTTTCTTTCTTTCTTTCTTTCTTTCTTTCTTTCTTTCTTTCTTTCTTCTTCTTTACACAATTCAGCTTGCAACAGAGATATACACTTTCTTCCTCTCTGGTTTTCCTTTTTCTTTCTTTCTTCTTTACACAATTCAACTTGTAACAAAGGTATATACTTTCTTCCTCTCTGGTTTTCCTTTTTGTTTTTCTTTACACAGTTCAGCTTGTAATAGAGATATATACTTTCTTCCTCTCTGGTTTTCTCTTTTCTTCAAACGCAGGCTGTATTCTCATCGTACAAATTTCTCTGCGTCTTCAGTTTGGGGTTATCGAACAGAAATACTTGTTCTTATATTTCTTGTCCGGAGTTACATGGGAGGAATCGGACAAGTTCCATCATTATCAAATGAGTCGCATCTTTCCGTTCATAAATTATCAGCGCTTCGATTTCGAGTCTTGGTCCTTCAAAGACAAGACAGCAACTGACTCCCAAGTAAATTTCTGACTCTCACGTGTCTTAAGTTTTGGCGCGAATTCCAGTTTACTTCAGTCCCCTGTCTAGATTCTGTCTAGACATTTGTTGCTACGGGTAATTGGGTCAGTCAACCTCTTGACTTGCTTTCCCAAAATGTCACAAGACTTACACGTGACCCCCATTCTGTTGCTAGGCTGAAATTAAACTTAATATATGCGTGTAAGCGTGTTTAGGCTATCTGCGTCCGTCACAATGCCTTTGTGATATTCTAGAGCTTTATTTTTTCCAATTTTTATCATGCCTTTGCAATATTCTAGGGCTTTATTTTTTCATATATTTATCATGCCTTTTTCGATATTCTAGAGCTTTATTTTTTCCAATTTTTATTATGCCTTTGCAATATTCTAGAGCTTTATCTTTTCCAATTTTTATCATGGATTTGCAATATTCTAGAGATTTATTTTTTCGTATTTTTATCATGCCTTTGCGATATTCTAGAGCTTTATTTTTCCATATTTATTTATGCCATTGCGATATTCTAGACCTTTATGTTTTGGTATTTTTATCATGCCTTTGCGATATTCTAGAGCTGTATTTTTTCCAATTTTTATCATGCCTTTGCAATATTCTAGAGCTTTATTTTTTCATATATTTATCGTGCCTTTTTCGATATTCTAGAGCTTTATTTTTTTCAATTTTTATCATGGCTTTGCGATATTCTAGAGCTTTATTTTTCATATTTTTATTATGCCTTTGCAATATTGTACACCTTTAATTTTCCTTATTTTTATCATGCCATTGCGATATTCTTGAGTTTACTTTTTCATATCTTTATCATGCATTTGCGATATTCTAGAGTTTTATTTTTCCGTATTTTTATCATGTCTTTCCGATATTTTAGAGTTTAATATTTCATATTTTTATCATGCCTTTTTGATATTCTAGAGATTTATTTTTTCCAATTTTTATCATGCCTTTGCGATATTCTAGAGATTTATTTTTTCATATTTTTATCATGCCTTTGCGATATTCTAGACTTTCATTTTTTCCAATTTTTATCATGGCTTTGCGATATTCTAGAGTGTTATCTTTTCATGTTTTTATTCCTTAGCAATCACTCCAACGGAGCTTCACTTAACAACGGGTAATTTCCTTCAGCTTTCTTCTTACCCGCTTTATTTCGAGAATAATTACATAGAAAACATCGTTTCTGGGATGAAACAACAGGACGATAGGAGAAAAAATACACATGTCAATAGGTTAGTTTACAAGTTATTACCTTCGTGCGCAGGCTTTTCTACCTGTTGAAATCCCAGCTTGATAACGACATATGGGCGGGGCAGGTTTTGGAAGAGTTCCAGAATTCGTGGCTCTCTACCCTCAGAACTGTATTGCCATATTCGAGCGTTTTGGGTTTTATATTAAAACTTAAACAAAGTCAATCCACCACCGGCAGGATTCTTGGCCTACGCAGTTCAAATTATCGCCACTCAGTTCTGGTCGTACGATAGGGTTTGACGCTTTTTTTAGTCTACGCAACCTCTAATAAGTTCTATGCCTTATTAACTCGGGCTCCAGAATATGATATGAATCCCATCATAAGGAGTCCTGAGTATGACGATAAACTACATCCGGCATCAAGGATTCTGATCAGATCTTGAATAGCATGGACCCACCTTTTAATTTCTGATGTTCCCAGGTCAACCCTAGTACCTGTTAGGGTCCCAGTTATGGGCAAATAGTTAACCCCCAAACTGGAATCAAAACACACGTAAAAATAAATTTTAATAACAGTAAAACATTTTTGAAAAAAAGTATTATCAGCAATATATATACACATAAATATATATATATATATATATATAATTTTTTAGAATGAAACAGCCTGTCGCCTCTGAGTGTTGACTTCAATGTTAACTATTTCTGATATTGAGCACTTTATCCCATAAATATAGCACACCTTAAAACTATATTTCTTCATATATATATATATATATATATATATATATATATATATATAGTACAGGTAAGCGATCCGTTCGTATATAATCCAGATGGATCCTAGTAATAATGATTATTAAAACTGATTCACAGAGAGGTCGATGTTTTTATTTTAACAGAGCATATGTATCATTTACAACAAAGGACTAAAAATTACATCAACACTGGAATAGACTATTTCAAACAGTCATTTAAGGGCTTTCGTCAGCCACTAAATACATGTCTTTGGAGCGCTTATTTATGTATTTTTCAAAGCCAGTCTCTGGTAAGCGCCTTGTTAATAGGAGTGGCTTTGTGTTAGCGATTGGTGGGGGCGTCAGGTATCTTATTTCGGGGAAAGCAGTCTGGGTTTGGAGTTTATTTATGGCTAGGATTTTTGTAAGTTTAATTTCAATTCCTACTATATGGTGTTTCATAAAAAGGTCCCGGCCTGTGTTTTCTGGGATTCACAGTAAATAGTTTTTTTTGTACCAGGAGGTCCCTAGTGATAGAGGAGTAGATGTCAATTATATCAAACTTAATGAATGTCGCTTTATCCTTATTCTTCATTTTTAGTGAACCATTTTATAGTGTCAGACGATTAAACTTTGAATCGTTGCCTCTTAGAAATGATTAAAGATATCTTACTGGAATTTTTCGAGATCTTTATTACACTATTGGACTATACTTTGAGCAATACGAATGTATAATTAATCTCCAAGCTTAATAGAAGAATCGTGATGAAATCGATCATAAACGAAAATGTTCATCATTAATTAAACATAGCTAAGGATCGGAAGCTCATGAAGGATATAAATTAAGCTCAAATATATATCAGCTGGATCAAGCAAGTATATACAGTGTAGAAAAATCATATATAGTAATTCATCGAGCCAAGAATAATCTTCAACAGAATACAGAAAACGGAATATTACACAGAAAGCATATCAAAATCGCTACACAATTGCAGCCTTGTTTCGATGCGTATCAATGCATTTCATCTTATATATATATATATATATATATATATATATATATATATATATATATATATATATATATTAGTGGAAAATATACATACATATGCAAAATATATAAATACACATACATGTATATTTTCAGAAAAAATTTCAAGAGGAAGAATCCAGGTAGAACTCAATGTCTAGGACAGAGTAAGGATATAATAAAAAGGCTTACACACTAATATTCCATGGTCATAAAAACAGAATTTAGAAATTCTTTTCATTCTTTTCTCTTATTTATAAACCCTTCCACCCATCTCTCCTAAAATTCTCTCTGTTAAGGTTCAATCTCCCTCCTCCTCATACTTACACTCTCTCTAAATTCTGTTTTTATTTCCGGAGTTGGTTTTTTCTGTTTTCTTTTTGAATTTGTAGGTCTGATGAATTGGATCGTATTTACGATTCCAATGAAATAAATTATGACCATGGAATATTAGTGTTTAAGCCTTTTTTATATATATATATATATATATATATATATATATATATATATATATATATATATATATATTATATTTAGGAATGTTAAGGATTTGTAAGATAATAAATTGCTCTTTTTTTGTATGTTCATATAACAGATTGTTTTTTATTATATAGCATTATATAGTATTAAGAATTAGCTGATATTAACTGAGTTATAATATATGCACGTGTCAGAGGATAAGAAATTTTCTTTTTCTTCTTTATATGGCTCTCCACAACTTCCTATCCTTTGCAGCTCTTGATAAATTCTGTCTTTCTGTTATTTATCCTGAACCCTTTTCCGATATCCATTTACTCAACCTCACTAATTCTGTTATATGCTATTATCTTCTAATAATTTTTATCTATCATAACTTTACACAAACCCCACTACATGCATATACATACATGCGAGGAAATATGTTCCAGCGGGAAAATAATAATATGACATGTATACAGTAACAAGACATTTCCGCCACACTTCCAATGTTTAAATTTCAACATTTCAACACACAAATGCGTATGTATAGATATAACACCACCCGTATACATACATGTGTCATAGCCGAAACTGCCCACATATGTTTATATATGTATGAGTCCTGACGGACGACCAAGTATGTATATGTGTCTGCATACATCGATGTTTGCGTTAGAACGATGAATGACAAAACGATGAAGTTTCCCCCACCACTTCCACAATAACACCAATACACGCAATCTACATAAACCCAAATTTTTTAAAACATTAATCAGTTTGTCTGACGATCGCTAAAGCGTGAAACCCAGGGTCACAAACTCACATCTATCCAACCAAATATGTTAGCTCTATCTCTGATATTGAGCGCTTTCTAATAAGTACTGCGCATATAATATATAAATAATTATACATATATATATATTTATTTATATTTATATACACTTTTCACACACACACACACACACACAACACACACACACACACACACACACACACACACACACACACACACACACATATATATATATATATGAATAAAGACGAAAAGAAAACATATCATAGCCGACGCGTTTCGTTCTTTGGGGAAATTTATCAAGGTAAATGCAAGGATTTTATTTTGTGGCAAGTATTTATATACAAGACCAAAAATGTTATCGTTTTTTTTTCAGATTTTATTTTTTAGGTATAGGACGTGTATTAGACATTGAATTGTATCACCTCATGTCCTCCATTAACTTGCCTGAGTTTTACGCTAAAGTGATGAATATTCATGAGAACTTCTATACATGAAAATTTTGAAAAACCATAAAC